CATAATAAAAGCTAATAAAAGAGATACCTCATCTTTAATACACGTCACAGTATTGCACGAGGCCACGTCAAAATGTGTTGTGTTGCACTTATAGACGTTTTTTTGCTGTAAAAAATAAATTGGCTAATATGATTTTTTTTAAAATGAGACCCTTTCTGGAAAATTTTTGAAAAATGCTGTTTTGTAATAGGGGTTTTATAAATGGGATTTACTATTATATCATGAATAGTCAGAGGTAGGGTGCAGGACGATAATCTCAATGTCATGGGTTCGATACCTATTCATGCCGCTATCAATTTTAATAATTTTGCTTATGTGATGTTTATACATTCATATTATTACAAGAAAGTTCTTTTCATGTTCATTCTGGAATATTTTTTCTCTAAGTAGTTTAGTATTCCAGATTGTTCATTGATAGTATGTATATAAATAGATATATATATGATGAATGTTTGTAACATGAGTTGTGTGTTAATTTGTGATATTGTGTGATGTTGATATACTGATCGAGTGTTATTGTACTGCTAACATAGTAATATATAAGTTAGTATTCTGTTATTCTGTGTGGGAAGTGATTTGGACATATTGTTATATTCTGCTGTGGACATTGGACATTGATTAAGTTAGAAGTGTGGACAGTTGAATTTCGAACTGTGAGTTAAACGGAAAAAACAACACAAAAACAAAACAAAATATTAAACCAAAGACAATAACCAGTACCAAGGCCCAAGGAATTAAATGACTGATACTTTTTTCCGAAGTACATACGGTTCAATTTCCTGTGCCATTCAAATTATTAAAAAATCGACACAACTCACACTTATGGCTATCTAACGACAATAAATAATAATGTATTGGTGTTTTTTCTGGCGTTCACTGGTTTTATTCTATCATCAGAAAATGTTGAATCATTGATAAATAATTCAGAAAATGTAGAATTATTTACAAAACGATCAGAAAGTGTAGAATTATCCGGAGCAATATTTAAGTGGTTCATTGCTTATATATATATATGAATACATGTATATGCTTAGAGCCATAAAGGACTTTCCAAATACTTACGGCAGTTGCCACAAAACTTAGGGCATGCAGATGTAAAAAGGATAGAGTCGGAACACAGATCCGCTTTTTGCCTGGCCATCTGAGCGCAAGCCAGCGGGTCAATGTCGTCACAAGAACTTCCGGTTCCATCAACTCTTGCGAGAGCAAAGCAAAACAAGATCCCTTAAGGATAAAACGTATACAAAATACATAATCCACAATGTACAGACCAAACAACAAATTGAAATTATTGTTACTATGTCTGTTTTCAGGATTTTTTACCTCAAGACAAAATTATAAGAAATCAAATCTTAAACGGTTTGCCTAAAAAAAAAAGTAACATAACAGTGCATTTAGCATAGTGTCGGCGGTTTTATTAAACAGTAATATCATATGAGCCGCGTCACGACATAACCAACATAGTGCGTTTGCGACCAGCATGGATCCAGACCAGCTTGCGCATCCGCGCAGTCTGATCAGGATCCATGCTGTTCGCTTACAAACCCTATTACAAGTAGAGAAACTGATAGCGGATTCGCAGGCTGGTCTGGATCCATGCTGGTCGCAAACGCACTATGTTGGTTTTGTCATGACGCGGCTCAATTATGTGATTTGGGAACAGTCAATCTATTGGCCCGAGTTGGAGATGGAAAAGTGTTTGAACTGTTGCCAAAGGCCGTAGACCGAGGGCAACAGTTCAAAACAATTTCCCCAACACAGAGGGACAACTGGTTGGCTGTCCCAAATCACGTATAAAATAACTGTTTTATTACCTGGTCAATTACTGTTTTAACAGTACTTGCAGAAGAAAAAAAGGAACAAGAAAATAGTTTGTCAAATATGTAAATAATTAAAATTTCCGAATTTAACAATCTTTTAACTCTGTCACGTCACGTCTGGTTAATGACGCTCCTAGGGGGAATCTTCTACGTGAGACGAGGGAAACAGTGACGACTATTGACCGGTCAACAGTTCGCTAACGTTGACGTAAGAATTTCAGAAAACAGTAAAAAATACCAAATGACATTTATATAAGGTACCAGGTAATAATCATAAATGAAAGAGTAAATGAAACAAATGCAATTTGGATGAACAATAGACGAATCATTAGGGTGGCTCCACCTGTAAATTGATTAGACGATAGATCTTACAGTTCACTTAAATCAAGTAACCTAATCATTTGTATGCCTGTCCAGTACTCGGACCGGGACCTCCTTTTGTATACTATTCCGCAATTTATCGACTGACTGAGCTACCAGTTCACATACGTGAACATTTTCTTGCCAATAGTAGTGAACAGTTCTTAAACGTGATTTGTCTGGCCCCCCCCCCCCCGATTGTTAGCCTAAATGTATTAAACTCTAAGCTGTCAAAAGGAAATAAAGCATAATTTACATCTCACATAAGTTTCTTCTGTAACACCATTTGTGAAATGATTCATAGTACTGTATTTATAGGGATCTATCAGTTAGCCCATACACATTAAGCTTCGGGTCTATCTGGCTTAATTGTTATGAGGTCAAAAGTCTTGTGCATTATTTGTAACATTGGTTTACCCTTAACTTCAGTATTGACAGAAAACGCTTTATAGAAAATATTATATAGCCTTTACTACAATTTTTGGAAATTAAAATTTATAAATTAAATCTGTAGTTTAAGAGGTTTATACAATCTACAAGGCGGCTTCGCACCTCTTAATTTTAGTAGCCACCCATAGTTGAACTAAATTTACATTTTTGTAAAACACAAATGATTTAAAACACATAAAATATACTTTACATGGTTTAAGATAGAAATCCATTTTTAATATTAAGGCGATGTGACTATGTTCCAAAAAGTCTTACATGATAAGACTTTATGAAGGTTAAATAAAGGAGCTTTGACACACATTCACGCTTATTTTATGAAACCTTTGAGGTTGTTTAAAATATAGAACTATTTGCCAATAGACGTCACTTACTATTTGGCAGGATAAAAGTAAATAAGTGTCTGTTTTCGTTAGTAATGATTTTAAAATTATTTTAATGAAAAGAACAAATTCATTCGTATTCGGCAAACAAACAACTAAACAAACAAACAAACAAACAAACAAACAACATTTTCATGTCCACGTTGTCTGCTTTATCCTTTTTTAATAATCTAAAGGAATCCCTTTTATTATAAATTTAATTAAGAATCCCTTAATCTCTTTGTATCGCAATCAGTTGTTCGGAAATTTCCTTTTTAAATCAAATATTTTGCTTCTAGATTAAGATTCTAGCAAAAGTGTATGCTATTTTCTCACACTCTCATTAGTTTTCACTCGTACTAGTACTGGTTTTATCATCATCTCATCATCATCATCATCTTCAGTAATCGCCTCACTCTTCATAGAGCATAATCGCCATGAAATTAAAACTATGTACATGCGCAGCAATTGGCTTCCTCTTTACAGTTATAGTTGTCTATTTACATATTCTTAAAAAACTGGTAAAACTGGCAATGTGTCTAGTTGGTGGTAGTGTGTTTCATCAGCGCCGACTTGAACCCTCCAAGGCTGGTTTCTCAACAACTTGTAAGGGTAGGAGATTCCAGAGAATAATGGTGACCGGGAAGAAGCTATTCTTGTTCACAGATTTCTTACATTAAGCTGGCTGAGTTGTTGTGGTTTGCCTCTTGATGTTCTTTCATTACGTAGTGTGACATCTACAAGGTCATACTTGATCTTACAGAGCATGGTGACTCTTGCCATGTCCAGTCTCTCTGCCATCACACGTACTAGTATTGGTTTCACTCGGACTAGTATTGGTTTCACTCGTACTAGTATTGATTTCACTCGTACTGGTTTTGGTTTCACTCGAACTAGTATTTGTTTTACTTGTACTAGTAGTGGTTTCACTTGTACTAATTTTGGTTTCACTCGCACTAGTATTGGTTTCACTCGTACTAGTATTGGTTTCACTCACACAAGTTTTGGTTTCACTCGGACAAGTATTGGTTTCACTCGTACTAGTATAGGTTCACTCGCACTCGTATTGTTTTCACCCGTACTAGTATTGGTTTCACTCATACTAGTATTGGTTTCACTCACACTAGTATTGGTTTCACTCGTACTAATATAGTTTCACTCACACTTACATTGATTTCTATCGTACTAGTTATGGTTTCACTCGTACTAGTATTAGTTTCTATCGTTTTCGTATAGGTTTCTGTTGGTTTCTTTTATCGTACTCGTTTGGTTTATTTCGAACATGTATTTTTTATGTTTCTCTTGAATTCGTTTAAGTTTCTCTTATTTACGAATTTGTTAATCTCTTTCTCGTTTTGGTTTCTCTTGATTTAGGATACGATTAGTTTCTCTCGAACTCGTGTTGGTTTGTTTTGTTTTTGTATTATAGATGTCACTTGATTTTTTACATGCTTCTCGTGTACTTACATTGGATTCTGTCTTCTCTTTTTTCGTATTGTTTTTTGTTGTTGTTAATGTTTTAGTTTCACTCGTTTGTTTTTTAGTTTTTCTCTCAATTTTCGGTACGGTTTCTGTTTCTCTTGTATTCGTATTTGTGTTTTTTTTATTCGTTTTAGTTCATTTGTAATCGCCATGTGTTATTTAAGTATCAAAATTCAGAAGGACCAGATTTGTAGCCGACATTGGTATAACGTATACACGATTACAGAACAATGTATCGTGTTTATTTTATAAAAATATTTAAAAAAAAGTACTGATGTGTCACCAAAAGTCTTGAGTTTGGACGCCAGTAAAATCATACACATGCTGCTGTAAACCTATACACGGGAACAGTGCAGTTTTAGAAAAGGATCCGCGGCCATGTGCTTCATATCAGTGCCTCTCAATCCTAGGATCATTGGTTCAAGCCCTATTCTGGCCTTTCATATGTCAACAGTGTTTGTTGCTTTCTGGCTGGCCAATCATAACTGTTTATACCAAAAAATGAAAAAAATGACATATAATACTAAAACTGAATTTACATTTATTATTTACAGATAAGGTTCAAAACTTTGTCAACAAAAGCACTGTCAACAAGGTCGGAAATAGTTCTGACGCTTAAAGCATGGGCACTGTCCTTTGCAATAGATCTAAGAACTTGCGTATTGGCATTTCCCACTCCAATAGTAATTAAAGGTATATACGAATTTATTGCATCCGACTCGTGTTTGACGTTATGATAGTTATTTTGGAACTGTCCAGTAATAATCAACGGTACATCCGGAACGTTAGAACGGTCACCATTCCCACTGTATCTTTGTGTGTATATACTATGAACAGGTGCATATATGTCCGGAAGTGACGAATACATCACCTGTTGATTGGGCAGGTTTCCGATGGCGGACAATAATCCACTTTTATAGGTGTTCCTTCAAAGTAAAGCGTTAATAGAAGCGATGGTTATATGAACACGCCAAACACTGTTAAAACATATAAGAAAATTCAATTTGTATACATGCTATAAATGTTGTAAAAATAGATGAAACATCATTTAATTTAAATAAACATGTTATAAATGTTGTACAATATACTGATAAGACCGGGCACATTTTAGTTAAGTTGGGAGAACTATGAATATTTCCGCCTTTAATGATACTAATATAACGTATATAACGATAAAAATTAGATTAATACTTGAATACACATACGAACTAAGTGCCCATCGGTAGTAAATCCTGGATTCAGCAAAGACGGACACCTCCATTAAAACACCATTAGATCCTATTTGTACTTTATTAACTAAGTTTTGTAAGAATTGTACGGTTGACTGGTCATCTATATAGTTCAAAAGAGACTGGTCGATTCTGACAAGTACGTCTCGATTGCAAACTAAAGAAACATAATTATTATGGATAATCATGATTTATGATATGATGGCACATGACTACTTTAGAGGCCACGTGAATTGTTAAAAATTGCACGTGAATCAAAAGAAGAAGAAATAATAAAGCAGATTTAGTGGTAAAAAACCATTACAATATAATCTTTGTCACGTGACTACTGGTAAACTGTCAAACGAAGTCAAGAAGAAATCGTATCGCTAGTTCTGAAGTCCATCATTTTCATATTCTTAAGAAGCGGTTATAAATTTATGAATGCGACCAATTATATACGATATGAATTATGTCTATATACATAGTGTACATACAACCTACATTTCTCACAGTGAGCCCCTACATATCCGATTGTACAGCTACAATTGTAAGACATTGAGTTACTCGTGCAGTGTCCATGTACACATGGATTTGAAGAGCAGTGATCTATCGCTGAAAAGAAAGAGATAATTGAGTAACTGTAATTGTAAAAGTTTACAGTGTATATCAAAATGTGGGTAATGCAATATCGGTTATTTATTGAGAACTAGAAAGAAGAAATGAGCCATGTCACGACAAAACCAACTGAATTGCGACCAGCATGGATCCAGACCAGCCAGCGCATCCGCGCAGTCTGATCAGGATCCGTGCTTTTCCCTATCAGTTTTTCTACTTGTTATAGGGTTTGTAAGCGAACATTATGGATCCTGATCAGACTGCGCGGATGCGCAGGCTGGTCAGGATCCATGCTGGTCGCAAACCCATTATGTTGGTTTTGTCATGACACGGCTCAAATGCTAGAAGAGATGTTTTATACATGTATTCTCACGTGTATTGCAAGTTTTTCTTCCATCCTTGCTTACAATGACAAAAGAATTGTGAACCAAACGGTGTGTAGGTGCCATGTACACACGAGTTAGTATAACAAGAAAAAAACATATCTGAAACAGATATGTCCATATTTCAATATCTTGTATGAAAGCGACCAGTGCTGCCGGGGTTCAGACGGCGCGGATGTTACCAAACAAATTTTGTTTACTTAAAACAATGGATGAATGAATCATTTTAACCATATAGCACAGCACTCTTACGTCATAGCTTACCGATTTCACATAGATGCCCCGTATAGCCACTATCGCAGCTACAGTGATATACTCCGTCCAAACCTAAACAGATACCATTGTGGCATGGGAGATTTTTGCATGGATTGGCTAAAAAAGAAGCAAAAGGTAACTTTATACTTTTTTATACTTTCATCTATTTTAATATTTATAATCATTAACATTGTATGCTTAATTTCTACATTTATATATTAAAACATATAGGCCACAAAATTAATTACTCCATCGAATGAAATCTTCTGTGAATGCCATATCTCAATATTTGAGAAACTGTAAACTGATCATAGAATACTTTTATAACGATAAGGTTTAGTTTAACTAAAATGCCGCACGAATAAACTCAAAGTCCATCACTGCTACAGTTATAAGATTTGCTTTTCATTTCCCAAACCTCAATTGTAAATGTTTTAATAGAATAACTGAGATTTATATTAACATGAAATTCGTAGGTATTATCTTAAATTGTTTAAATTGTACTACTAATAGATGCAATCCGACATACCTGTTGTCACAGCAAATGTAGTAGTTGTTGTTGTTGTTGTTGCTGCTGTTGTGGCTGTCGACGTTGGAGTTGGTGTTGAAGTGGTTGTTTGTTTTGTTGATGCTAGAGTCGTGGTCAAAGGGACGTTACACAAATCTTTATTGCAACAATCTATGGTCACAGATCTTGAATGCAATTCCCTTTTCATCCCAGTATCGCAGAACTTAATTTAAGAATTTTACACAAACATTACTATAACATAACAAAACATCAGCAGACCCGTCCAACAACAGCAACAACAGCAGCAGCAGCAGCAACAACAACAACAACAACAACAACAACAGCAGCAGCAGCAGCAGCAGCAGCAGCAGCAGCAGCAGCAGCAGCAGCAGCAGCAACAACATCAACAACAACAACAACAACAGCAGCAACAACAACAGCAGCAGCAACAGCAGCAGCAGCAACAACAACAACAACAACATCAGCAGCAGCAAAAACAACATCAGCAGCAACATCAGCAGCAACAACAACAGCAACAACAACAACATCAGCAGCAACAACAACAACAACAATAGCAGCAGCAGTAACAACAACAACAACAACAGCAGCAACAGCAACAACAGCAGCAGCATCAACAACAACAGCAGTAGCAGCAGCAGCAACAATAACAATAACAACAACAACAACAATAATATTATATGAGTGAGCCACTTTTTCACAAACTTGACAGCTTGGATGTGTCGGATGCTGCGTTTTGTGAACGTTGCCTTTACTTTTGGACAAAATAGCACATTTATAAAAAGCTTTGAAAGTAGTTATTTAAGTGGGAATAATTATATCTATACTTTTTGCAGAACAGTAACCCAATAATAATAATAATAATAATAATAATAATAATAATAATAATAATAATAATAATAGATCTATAAAGGTTCAATATCTTGTAATTGTTTCAATAAATCTTGGTTTTAATGTATGTAGAACATTTGCATTTGCTTCTTTTACGAATGTTTGTGGTATTCTAAGTAGAAATTGTAAACGCTTGACAACGTTTGATATAAAAACAACAACAACAACTACAAAAAATAAATAAATACAGAAATCTTACATGTTCTGTTGCACATCCAAGTCTATAACTAACTTGACCAGTTCTTGTTGTTCTCATCATTTCTATCAAACATATCTGGAAATGTCAGCATATAAGTCCTTTCAGTTAAGTTTCTTTTTTCTAGATTAATAATTATAATAATAAATTCAGAGGTCGTTTTAAGTATTGGATAATCCTTGATACTATTTGTTAACTAGTAGAGCGCTAGGCCAGTTTGCACTTTTGGCATGAGTCTAAACCGTTGGTTTCTTTAAAGTGTCAAGGACAACTTGAATTCGCAGCAGAAAAACGTCATTATACAAATTTGGGATAGGTCAATAAAAAGTCCTAGATCATTAAGCTTCATTTCGAAAACTATTCTGACAGACTTTAAAAAAATCTCGTAACCAACATCAACAACAACAACTTTAACCTTTTTTAAGCTCAAGCCACATGACAGATTGCCAATATAAACGATCTAAAACCCGTAATATACACACTGATTTCATGGTCATTATAAAGTAACAGCATCAATTTTAAGTTCCTTCGAGCATTAAACTAGTGTAAAATTTGTTTCGTTTCACTATGGGGGTGCTTTCCGTTGATTACATTTTCTGTCATAGTTACTAAATTTAGCAAAATGAAGTTATACTTGCATTACCGTGTTCTTGTCACACGTGACTGTATTACACGAGCTCACGTCGGTACTAGTTATGTTGCAGTTATAGCAGGTAGTTGCTGTAGATACAAATATGCATTTAAAACAATTTTTACAACAAAATAAAACAAATATTTCTATATTTTCATATTATCAATTAATAATAAGGTTGTTTGTTTTCATATTTATCTATAACTTATACCCTAATTTTATCAGGATTGCTTGAATTCTGTTCCCTTCAAAATACGCTTTTTTTGCTTTAGTGATACTGAAACATTTGTTGTGGTTGCCGGGCAAAATGATCATGATTCGAAGAAATTTATTTTAAATGTCGTGTTTTAAACTGTTGTTATTTCATTTTCATGACTCATAAGTGTAAAATGTAGAAACTTTAAAGGGTATCCAACACATCCCACACTGTCAAAATATTGGTTTGATCGCAACTTTTCATTGACCGCAATGAGTAATGCATGTTATCGTCCGCACCGTCCGCCATCACCGACTTAAGCAGAATTCATCATTTAAATACAATACTAAAATGATGTTCATTTGTTTTTAGCTTAGAGCATCTGTAGATGCGTAACAATATTAAAACCATCAATCTTTATAAGTGGCACTAGCTGGATAGCTTCCTCACATGAAAGAAGTTCCTGTCGGGATTCGAACCCACAGAGGTGAGGGGCAAGTGGTTTGAAGTCAACGACCTTAACCACTCGGCCACGGACGCCCCATAAGTGGCACTATCAGCTGTAACATTTAATGTTCATTTCACAATACATTTATAGGGGTATGCGTGGCCGAGTTGTTAAGGTCGTTGACTTTAAAGCAGTTGCCCAAAAACTGCTATGGCCTTGAATGCCACTAGGGACATTGGATTCTTTCATGTCGGGAAGCTATCCATCTAGCATCCCAAAGTGGCCGTGCGTGCCTGAAATAATTAACAGAGGGACTACTGAGATCTTTTCACTCCACTTAAGCTGAAACGTCGTCATATGACCTAAAGACCTAACAGAATAAAATATTTTATTGATAGCTTGTACTAGTATGTATAACCAAAATAAACATTCCTCACAAGAATGTATAAATGTAGGTTTATCAAATTAATATACTAGATAAATCAAAGCATGTTTTTCCTTACGACAGTTGCCACAAAACTTTGGACAAGCTGACTGTGACAGTTCAGTATCTGAACACAAGTTGACATTTTGTTTAGCCATGCTCGAGCAAGCTACCGGGTCAATATCTTCACAAGAATTCCCAGCTCTTGCTGTAGTTACTAGAGCACACAAGATGTAGACACCTGCAAACGAAAGAATAAATTTTATCTTAATATTAGCAGGATTCATATATATTTATGCATCGCTACAGGTTATTGGTACAATTTTTAAAGAGCCATTTTCATACTTTATATGACCAAATTTGATTGGTAAAAGTATCCTAATTGCCCGTTAGTGAAATTTTAATTCATGCTGAAATTGACATCTTGATTGAGCTACATTTCTTAATAAAAAAGCAACGACTAAACAAAAACAATGAACAGAAAACGATTAAATGAATGAACAATAAAACGAACGAACGAACGAACGAACGAACGAACGAACTCAAACTCAAACAAATTACTGGCGGGTTCAATGTGATGTCAGTAGTTATGTAACTAAGTATTATTTTGTGAGCAACAACACAACTCTACAATGGAAGTTCACGTTCTCTATCAGGCTTAGTGAAAAAACATTTTTGAGCAGACATAATTAAGTTAAACAATTTTAATATCGCTAGGAATCGAGTTGAACAAAACAGACACTATCTTGCAAATAAATAACCCAGCGAATGAAGAAAATGAATGAATCTAAAATAGCTTCACAGCTACAAAAATTCGAAAGTTAAATTGATGTTATTCTTTGTTTTAAGTTTGAAACTTGAGTCCAAGAGAAATACATGTATCAGGTTAGTTTGTGTACTTACATATTCGTGAAATGCAAAACTACTATCATAGAACAGGTAGAATGAAAAAAGTCACAGTCAAACAAAATCAACAAGCAATTATTATAGTATTACAAGCAATCCTTAGGCCCCTTACCGGTTAGAACCCCAGCAACATTCTGA